CTCCTGGAAATTTGTCTTCTTATTTAGCAGAAGGCTCTAGACTGCAGTGACTGGACTGGTCGTCAGGCTTGGGGGGTGAGACCAGTATTTCCCTAGGGGTGAGCTCTTCTGTGGAGAAGGAAATGGCAAACCACTCCAGTATCCTTGCCTAGAGAATCCTGTGGACGGAGGAGCCTGGTGGGCTGCTGTCCATAGGGTCACACAGGGTCAGACGCGACTTAACACGCATGCATGCATTGGAGAGGGAAATGGCAACCCACTCCGGTATTCTTGCCTGGAGAATTCCAGGGACAGAGGAGCCTGGTGGGCTGCTGTCTGTGGAGTCGCGCGGGGTCGGCCACAACTGAAGCAGCTTAGCAGCAGCAGCAAGCTCTTCTGAGAAGCTGCAGGTGCCTCTGGGAGAAGGAAGAACTCTCTTTAGGTCCTGGGGAGTCCAGGTGAATGCTGCAGCCTTGGAGGGCTGTGGCACGTGCCAGCCTTGGGCTCTGTGTGACCACTGGGAAGCCAGCCAGCCTGCATCTATTCCCCAGCAAATGGACCTGCTAAAAATAAACAGGCAGCTATTCAGTTCCTCCAGATTCAAAATAGCCAGGCCGTCCTCCCCACCAGTGCTAAGGTCCTTGCTGCATTTTTCTGCCAGGCTGTTCCCAGCAGGAGGCCGTGTCCTTGGCCTCCCACTAGGAGGCCCTCGGGGAGGAACCTGCCTTCCCCGTGAGTGTGAGGCCGTCAGACCTGTGGTGCTAAACGCCACTCGCATCTTCAGAGGTTCAGGTTAGAACACAAGTCACACATGCACAGGACCAGGGTCAAGAGAAGAGCCAAGGAAGTGAGGGGGCAGTTGCTGACTGGTGGGAAGCGGGGCTCCCTGTGAGGTGCCCTGAGTGCCCGCGTGCCTTTGGGTGAGTGGCTGCTCCTCCCAGGGGCTCCTGGCCCTGGTCCCGGTGCCCTTGCTGCTCTGCGCTCCCCTCCTGCCTGGGGGTCTGCCCACTCTTAGTTCAGGAGCCGGGCAGTTCTGTGGGAGGCGGGCAGCGCAGGGCCAGCTGCTGCTGCTCCTCTGCTGAGTGCCCGGGTGAGTGGTGAGCGCTGGGGGTCTGCTGGGACGTCCCGGGTCCTGTGGGGTGGGTGACATTGCTTCACGGCAGCAGCGTTACCCGCCTTCTCTGAGGCCCTTTTGGGTATTTGTCCGGCTTGGCAATGTAGAAAGTGTCTCCTGAGCTGTCATTAACTGAGTGGCCTGTTGGGCTGGGTGGGGCTATAGGTGGTGACTCTCGCTGGGAGCTTGAGCCTCAGCGTGGACCCAGCTGGGCTGAGGGGTGAGGTGGGCAGGTGGCATGTGTCATGGCCACAGTCTGCACTGGGATGGGAGCAGATCGGGGAGGCAGCAGGGGAGGCCTGGCACGGGCTGGGTTGCGGTGTGCGTGTCCTGGGTGCAGGACCAAAGCTCGGCGGGGCTCTGTGTCTGTGACCCCGCCTTATGGTGGCACAGATCTGATCTGGGAGTGGGGCGGGGCCTGCGGGAGAGCAGACCCCTGCCATCAGCTTTAGTTCCAGAGGGTGGGGGCAGGTTCTCCCAGCTGTTTGTGTCTGGGATAGCAGCTCCCCACTTAGACCCTAATTTTTAAGACTGTAGAAATTGGGCCCCTGGAATGTAGAGTGAGGAGACCGCCCGCTCTGGGTTGTTAAGACATGGGCTTCTTTCTCTCACTCCCTGTCCCATCCCATTTCGTCCCTCACCTGAGAGTAGGGGTGACTAGAGTGCGACGGGACTCAGCTGTCAACTCTGGGGTTGCCGCATTAATGAAGTAGTGGAGTATGAATTCGCTGATGAGGAGAAAACCTGGTTCATGCCCCAGCTCCAGAACCCCACTGCCTGTGGCATGTGATCTGATAACAGGCCAGGGACGTGCCGCCTTATCTTGAATGCCCCCTTCCCCCTAACCTCTTTTCTTTCTCAAATTTCATTTTTTAAATTTTTTATGTGAAAGACATTGAACACAAAGCAAGTCTCCTTAATCTCTCACCTTTTTTGGGGTGTGCGCAGGTTGTCATGGAACAGTGATTCCCCAACTTGACTGCACATTGAAATCACCTGGGTTGATTAAAAAACAAAAAACCTGACGCCCAGGTCTCACCCTGAGATTCTGATTGAATTGGTCTGGGTGCCACCTTGGGGTTTTAAAGCTTCCCAGACGATACTAACAGGCAGCCAAGTTGGAGAATCCCTGTTAAAGAAGTTTAAAATTCTCTTCCTGAAAGAAAGAAGACTTTCTCTATTTACAGATAAGGATAAATAAATAGGCAAGTCTGGGAAGATTTGCAGGATGCAAGATCAGTGTGCAAACCTCCCCCTCTTCCACAACTGAGAGGCCTGATGTGGATCTTTCCCAGTTTTTCCTTGGGATTATGCGAACGTAATCACAAATGCACAGTGGTCTACACCTAATGTTTTCTGTATCACGGCAATTTTCCCGTGTCAATACATGAGATCAGCTTCCTTCTCCAAAACTGGTATGTCCATAGGTTCTGCAATATATTTAGCAGTCATTCCTCTGAGTTATGCTTCAAATGATACCCCAGTGAACATTCTTTTTTTAAATAACTTTTACTTTTATATTGGAGTATAGCTGATGAACAAGCAATGTTGTGATAGTTTCAGTTGAACAACTGTGAAGAGTCTCTGCCATTCATATACATGTATCCATTCTCTCCCAAATGTGCCTCCCATCCAGGCTGCCATATAACATTGAGCAGAATTCCATGTACTATACAGTAGGTCCTTGTTGGTTATCCATTTAAAATAGAGCAGTGTGTATATGTCTGTCCCAAACTCCCTAACTATCCCTTCCTCCCACCCTTCCCTCCCAACAACCCTGAGTTCCCAGTGAACATTCTTAATATATATAGACGTCTGCCTGATGTTTTTTTAAAGGAAAAGATTCTGGGTGTGGGACTCGAGCATCATAGGATAGGATCATTAAGTTTTAAGAGAAGTACAAACTTCTTTCCTTGTTCTGTACAATGCCTTGTTTGCACACACCCTTGGGTTTTGGATTTAATGTGGAGTAGACCCAAGTTCAGCCCCTTGAGTTATTTTAACCTTTAGGATGGTAATATGTATTCCAAACTAGGTAGTTGAGGATTAAGCAATGCAAGGGAAAGCATCTCATAAGGTTGTGTTTGAATCTGAAGCTCCAAGGTAGCATCATTGAAGCTTTCTGCCTGAAGGGATTAATACAGTCTTCTGAGCCCCGGCCATTGCTTAGCTTTGCTTTTGTATTTTCCAGTACCATTGCTTCATCTTTGAATATTAGCAAGAAGGTTTTTCTTTACAGACAAGGGAATTTCTGGAAATGACCCCTCCCCAACCCCTTCACTTTGGAGCACACTCTACTGGACCCCTTCACCAGCTGCCATGTGCTAGCAAATCCTTTGCTGGTTCTGTTAAATGGCAGCATGTGATTCAGTGGTGGGTAGCAGTTCTCAGATGATGCTCAGTGCTTCTGGTCTATAGACTACACTTTGAGAAGCAAAGTTTCCAGGACTGTTTTTGCAGTGGTCGAACTTTCTTTTGCCTTGGCTGAGCATTAAAGCCACCTAGGGAACAAGAGTATGCTCTGGTATTTCCAGAGTGCAGTGATGTGAGTAAATTCAACTAGTTGTTTAGTCACTGAGTTGTGTCTGTCTCTTTGTAACCCCATGGACTGTAGCCCGCCAGGCTCCTTTGTCCTTGGGATTTCCCACTCGAGAATACAGGAGTGGGTTGCCATTTCCTTCTCTAGGTGATTTTCCTGTCCCAAGGATTGTGAACCCACGTCTCCTGCATTTCAGGTGGATTCTTAACTGCTGAGTCACAGGGGAAGCCCAAATTAAACTTGTCCAAATTTAACAATTAAAGAATTGTTAAAGCATTCATTTATATCCACAACAAAGCACAAACCACATTAAGGAATAACTCACCATAACAGTGGAGGATTTTTCGTTTTAAGGATTCTTGTCATTTTTGCAGACAAAATAAATTTGCTGGCAGGGAGGCAATGCATGCACGTGTGCATTCTAGAATACGTTCATCACATACCTCTCATGAGAGCTAACCCTGCTTTACCAGCACTTCATGCGTGTGTCAGCTGACCTTCTACCAGCCATTCCTTACCAAGGGTGTCCCCACCCTACAGGTGGAGAAAGCTGTTTCCTGTCTCTTGTCTGCTGCTTTCTCCTGGGCTCTTGCTCCTCCTTGCCTGGATCTGACGGACTGGGCATTCAGCTTCCTTTCATTTGGCGGCCTCCTGTAATAAGCTGGACGCACAGTTTGGGAGTGTGTGTTCCTTGCAAACCAAACCTGGTTCTCTGTTGACTGCAGAAACAAGCGCAGCCTCTGCAGTGGGTGCAGGAGCCTCACTGAACCTGGTCAACAGCCTGACTCTCAAAGACTCGATTTCCACAACCCTGTGTGTGTTGCAGGTCCCTCCCCTTGGGGAACCCCCATCCCTTGAAAGATCTCACTCATCCTTTGTTCTGAGTTAATTGTGGTGTAACTACTGTCTCCTTGACTGATGATTTGGGGGATGCTTGCTAGGGACGTGTCCACATGGATTTCCATGGGTATTTAAAAGTGCTCCAATACCACCTGAATAGATAAGTGTTCTGGGAGTTTAGAGAATGAAGACACTAAACACAGCTAGTCCCTTGCGGGGGAACCCTTGGAGAACTGGGCATCAAAAAGTGATGGAGGAAGGGATTTGGTTTCAGGAGCCGGTTCACTGTGTTTCAGGGGAGTGTGCCTGGATGAGGGAGCAGAAGGCCGGGGGCAGTGCCCCCGCCCCCCCCCGCCCCCCGTGGGTCACCGGCCGGGGTGTGCCCAGAGGGCAGGCCGCGCCTTCCAGGGCCAGGGGGCACGCGGCCGGCCTTACTGGACGGTGAGTGCCATTAGGAGCCCTCGCCAGCTCTCACGGCTGCCCCTCGCTCTCCTCTTCCCGCAGGTGTAATTACTCCACGCCTCCAGGATGACGATCCAGTTCCGTTCACTCTTCCCCCTGGCCCTGCCTGGAGTGCTGGCGCTCCTCGGCTGGTGGTGGTTTTTCGCCCGTAAAAAAGAGCCCCTCGACAGCCACGAAAGAGCGGCGGAGGCGGGCGCGGTGGTGCCGCGAGCCGGCCCCGGCCCTGCCGCCCAGGAGGCGCTGCCCGCGGAAGACGCTCGGCCTGGAGCCGCCAGCCCACCGCCGGAGAGGGAGCTGTGCGGCGGCGGCAGGCCCTCGCTGGAGCCGCCGGCCCTGCTGCGAGCACACCCGGTCTGCCGGAGGTCCGAGTCCTCGGGCAGCCTTCCCAACCCCACTGACGCGAGACTACGCCCGGGAGTGCGCAAGGAGGTGGAGCTCGCCCTCGCGGGCGACGAAGCCAAGGCTGTCCCTCTGGAGTGTCCCCTGCCAGCCCCCAAGGGCCTTCCGTTCCCCCACGAGGCGGTCGAGGTGTGTAAGCTAGAGGCCGTGCTGGGCCGGCCGGTGGGACGGGTCCACCAGGGCCAGCCTGCAGCCCCCGCCGAGAAGCCCGGCCCCGGAGAGAAGGCCCGGGAGACTGGGGGCGCCGAAGGCACCGGGGATGCGGTGCTGGGAGATAACGTCCTGGAGGAAGTGCCGGCGGCCTGGGAGCCGGGCCCCGAGTTAGAGTTACAGAGTGGCCGGGCGGCCGGAGCGGGAGAGAAGGGCCCGGGCCGCCCGCTGGACGAGGACGTGGCGGAGGTGGCGCCCGAGGAGACGCTGGCGCCCGGAGGCCGGGCGACCGGAGCCTGGGATGGAGTCTTTCCCCGGGAGCAGGGCTGGGAGGAGACCTGGGACAGAAGCGAGAAGATCGAGCAGGCTGCCTTCCAGATCATCTCCAAAGTGATCCTGGAGGCCACCGAGGAGGTGCTGGCCACCACTGTGGGCAGGATCGCGGGCCGGGTGTATCAGGCCTCAGCCGCCCATCCCCAAGGGCCGAAGGAGGAGAGCTGTGTCCCCGCCAGCCAGAAAGCCCCCCTGGGCCTGGAGGCCTCGGAGCCCATCCTGGCTGCCGCGGAGGCGGCCGCGGCTCTGGGGGACACGGCCCTCCCCTCCGCAGAGCCACCAATGGCAGACCAGCCAGCACCAAAGACCTACGTGAGCTGCCTGAGCAGCCCTCTGTCCAGCCCCACCAAGGACAGGAAGCCAAAGAACTCTGCACACCACATCTCCCTGGCCCCCTGCCCGCCGCCGGCCACCCCCCTGGGCGAGTTGCTGGATGAGGCAGGCGGCCCTGGGGAAGAGGCCACCCGTGTCCCCTGCATGTCTGACAGCGGCCAGTCTGTCCCCTCCGGGGCCGCCTCCAGGCAGCGCTCAGATTCTGCCAGCACCTCGGGGCTTGAAGACTGTTGTACGGAGACCTCCTCCAGCCCCAGGGGCGAGGCTGCCACCCCACCGCTGCCCGAGAGTACTGTGCCTGTCAGCAACGGGGTGCTGAAGGGGGAGCTGTCGGACTTGGGGCCTGAGGACGGATGGACCGTGGATGCGGAAGCAGACCATTCGGGAGGTAGGCGGGCCTGGGGTGTCTCCCCTCATTCAGCTGGGAAAGGCGGCTGGTCTGCTCTGCTGCTTCTGTAGTCAGATGCTCTTCTACACTGTGTCCCAGCGGCTTGCAGAAATTGGGGTACAGCAGAGAGCTGGTGGGCAACTGAGAAGTGAATGCTGCCCTGAACCCCAAAGCCATGGGAGCTGTAACTTGGTTCCGCAGCCAGGGACCCTCCCCAGCCCTTCTGAAGGAACCAGCTCAAAGTTGGGTTCACCCAGTAACTTAAGTGTACTGATCTGTCTTTACACACTAGCTTCCTAATAGCTTTTTTAAAGACGGAGAGGCCCCTTTAGCTTTAATCCCCTTGAGTACCAAGAATGGGTGAGCTTTTTCAGTGGTTTATTTCCTTTTAATAATGTGCTTGTTCCCATGTCTTCACCTGCTTTCCTTCTCCAGAAGCTCTTTCGGGGTAAGTGCCCAGAGAGTGGCCACAGCCTCGAACCTTGCGGGAGGCTCGCGCCTTCTGCCTGTTGCTGTCACCTACTCCTTCAAGAGAGCCTCAGCCATTTCTTTCTGTGCAGCTGCAGTTCCGCCCCCAGGAAAGGGGCACTTTGGTAATGAAGTGTCCAATGGGTTTTTCGAGTGCTGACCCCAGCGTAGACAGTTCAGGCCGCTAACTTACAGGTCAGCAGCTCCTGACCCTGGTTTTGCAGCTTCCCTGGGGTATTCCCACTTATCTCATGGAAGGAGGCCACGGGTTCCTCTGTGGGTCTCCAGCTTGCTTGTCCTGGAGGTGTTCCCTGTCATTTCAGCCCCAGGAAGGTTGGGGCTCTTGCTGGGGAATTTCACTGCTCTCAGCAGCATCTGGTGTGCACCACGTGTTGTCACCTGTAAGATGCTATTCTCGATTAAGACACTGCTGTTTTGTGTGTACCTGTGATAGAAAAAAAGTGCTACCAATCATGAGTGTAGAAAAGTCAGAGGCCGTAAGATGCACCCAACTTCAGGGATGTTAAATTATTTTTTATCATTTTAAAGCATCTTAAAATGGACGGAAATCCTTTGGAAGTAAAGGAGCCCCTCAGCCTCAGCATGCAGACCCCAGTTTGGCAGTGGTGGCTGCTGGGATGAGCCCAGGCCGCAAAGGAGGGGTGGTGGGCGGGGGGCTGGGGGATGGCAGGCGGGGGCTGGTGGGAGCCGCACGCAGCATCCTCTGAGGAAGTCAGGGCTCCGAGTGGCCCAGGGACCACTGGCTGAGGGGAGCCTGTGGAGTCGCGGTGTGGTCTGAGCCCCCTGTAAGTGTCGTCAGGGTGGAGGCCCATCCTGCTTGGTCCTGGGGGCAGCTGGGGGCCGGTTACGAGCCGAGCCCACATCGGCCAGGTCCGCCAAGCAGACTTCTTTCCAGAAGGGCGGTTTTCCCCACGTGAAGCCCGTCTGAGTCCCTAGCATCGAGGGAGGCACCTCATCATAGCTGGGAGGAGGCCCTGCCTCCTCTGTCCAGGCAGGGCCGGGTTCGTTCGGTAGGGGATTACGTCCAGGGCTTAGAGAAACCATGTGGAAAATAACCTAGTTAGTAGCATCTCAGGAGTGATCTATTTCTGGCAGTCGAGTCTTCCATATTTCAGCCAGAGCCACTTCTCTGAAGTCGTCTGACCCCTGTGTCTTGGTTGTGGGCCCCCTGGCAGACCCTGAGTGGGGGTGTCCTCTCGGGACTGAAGACCCACCAGGAGCCCTGAGAGCCTTCAGGGGTGCGCGAGTCAGGCCTAAGCAGAGGGAAGGAGGGGGCCTCCTCCCGGTGCCCCCTCTTCCTGGGCTCAGCTGAAGGCCTGAGCGCCCCAGCCTGGGGCCTTGGGGACCAGGGCCCTTCGTAGGAGGGGCCGCTTAGCTGAGTGTGGCCCAGCTGCGACCAGTTGGGCTCCGCCGAGACCCACACCAGGCACAGGCTGCTGAGGCCTTGGGGGCCGGCTGGCCTGCCCCTCCCTGCCCGTGGACTCCGCTTGCTGAGCCGACGTGTTTCTTCCCAGTCTACCCCTTGTCTCTGCTCCAGCAGCTGTGCTAGGCGCGGCTGCCAGTTCAGCAAGTGGGACTGTAAGTGACAGGCTAAAATTAGGTGTATCTACACCCCCAGTCCGCCTTTCATTGGGGCTGTTCCGAGCCTTCCAGACTGCTAGCTGACAGTCACCTGCCAAGCCTGAGGAGGGGGCGAGGGGCGGGGGCCTCCCGGGAGTGCGAGTTTGGAAGTTGTCCGTTATTAACTGCTCTGGGCCCGTGTCTGTGCGCGCTGCTTCCTCCCCTGCAGGTTCAGACGGGAACAGCATGGACTCGGTGGACAGCTGCTGTGGCCTCAGGAAGCCTGACGGTTTCCAGAATGCCCAGGCAGGCTCCAACCCCAAGAAGGTCGACCTGATCATCTGGGAGATCGAGGTGCCAAAGGTAAGGGCTACGAGCGCTAAGTGACCCCGGGCCCAGGGTCAACGGGCTTGGGAGAGGGGGCCAAGGGGGGGGGACCTAAAGGAGGAGAAGCCCCTAGGGTGCTGGAGGCTGAAGGAGTGGGAAGTCTGGAGAGCTCCCGTAGAGCGGAATCCCTCCAGCTGACCTCGGGGGTGGCGTCCTCACGCTCCCCAGCCCCTGCCCTCCTCGGGGCTCTTCTTGGCCTGCGGGGCTCAGATCCGCTTGGAGATGCTAGCAAAGCAGGCTGAGGGCAGGGGCTGGCCAGGAGTCCCCTCAGCATGCTCTCCTCCCGCTCTCCAATGCAGACTGTATCTTATAATTCAGCACAGCATAAATCCGTGTTTTAGAGAGCTTGAGGAATATAGCAGTGTAGGAAGAAAATAAAAATCAGCTTAATCCTACCCCCGAGAGTGACTAGGAAGACTTTTATTTCCTTCTCATCTTACACCCTGTGGTTTTTAAACAAAACTAAGATTATGTTGCTTTAATTAATGCTTTTAAATATTTAACAACTTAATTTTCCTGTGTTATTCTTTGAAAACGGAATTTTAACTGCATGATTCATTGTGTGAATGTCAGTTTACTTCACCAGTTCCCCAATTCCAGGGTGCTTAAGTGATTTCTAGCTTCTTGCTTTTCTAACTTACATCTTATTAGCTTGATCTTGATGTTTGTCTCCGGGACTCAGAAATAATTGGCCAACTGCATTCTCCTGGGCTCTTAGCCTCCTGTTGAGGTGGAGGCTTGGCCTGGTGTGACCTCGAGGTCAGGCCGGCTGCTCTGACCTGCATGGCTGGCTCCCTTGGTTATGTCTTCCCCCAGTGACCTTGAGGGCAGAGCTGCCCTTTTCTCTCTGCTTCAGAGGTTGCAAAGGGCACACCCAGGCAACTCTGGGTGCAGAGTGACCGTGTCCCTGGCAGCTCCACTATTGGGGATTGCTTCAGGGTTTGTCTTATATTGGGCTGAGTTTGGCTCCTCTGGCCCGCAGGGGACGTGTGCTCTGGAGTTGGCAGCAGGAGCCCAAGGGTTCTTTCTTAGACCTTTGTTTTCTTTTCTTTTTTTTTTCCATTTATTTTTATTAGTTGGAGGCTAATTACTTTACAATATTGTAGTGGTTTTTCAAACTGAGCCCATTCTTTGGACCTAAGCAGACTTGGAGAGGTAGAGGACTCAAAAATCCAACCTTGTGCTTAGAAACATCCCAGTGGTTAGGAGAAAATGCTGCCTTTGCAGCCTCTGAATGTGAGCCCCATCGTTGGGGAGGAAATGGAAACGGCCACGTCCTGGAGCCGTTGCCTGGTGCAGCTGCTTAGCAGCTGTGTGCAAGGAAAAGGCGCTCAACTGAGTCCGACTCTGTGCGACCTCATGGACTGTATCTCCACGGACTATACAGTCCATGGGATTCTCCAGGCCAGAATACTGGAGTGGGTAGCCTTTCCCGTCTCCGGGGGATCTTCCCAACCCAGGGATTGAACCCAGGGCTCCCACTTTGCAGGCGGATTCTTTACCAGCTGAGCCACAAGGAAAGCCCAGGAATACTGGAGTGGGTAGACTATCCCTTCTCCAAGGGATCTTCCCAACCCAGGAATCAAACCAAGGTCTCCTACATGGCAGGCAGATTCTTTACCAGCTGAGCTATCAGGGAAGCCAGTAGCTGTGAGAGCCTGGCCAAATTAACTTAACGTCTCTGGGTTTGTTCCGTCAACTGTAAAATGGTGATAAACAGATGCTGTTTGTTTCCTGCATATACTGAGTAACAGTAAGTGCTCAGAACAGTGCCTGGTGAGTGAGTGCCGAGAATACGTGTGAGCCTGATCTGGTGTGAAGCAGAGGTGGGTCTTGGGGATGCTCGGGTTTGGCTTGTTAACCCTCTCACCCCTCTCTCTCTCCCGAAGCACCTGGTTGGTCGGCTGATTGGCAAGCAGGGACGCTACGTGAGTTTTCTCAAGCAGACATCTGGTGCCAAGATCTACATCTCCACCCTGCCTTACACCCAGAACATCCAGGTCTGCCACATCGAAGGTCAGTGGCAGCCGCTGCCTGGGTTTTATGACAGTTTTCTTACCTGAAACGTAAGTGACTTGAAGCATTTGAGTCCCACTTGCTCCCTTTTGGAATCTTAAGTCTCTGAATAGAAAGCCCTGCTTCTCACCTGGGGTGAAGGGAGTGGGCGAGTCTTCCCTGTAGCCTCATCTTCACTTCCGGTACTTGAAGGAGACTCAGGATCCCCCAGGTCTTCTGGCAGGAAAGGGGTGGGCACTCGGGGACTGGCCAGGGGTCCTGGGCTGATGGTGGACGAAGGCCAGGCCTCCCCGTCAGCTGAGCTCCTGCTGCATTAGTGCAGTCATAGACAATAGAGGCCCAGTGTGAAAGGGCCACAGGCTCCAGCTTTAGATGCGGCTCACCTTAAGTGAGGCTTGGCATTTCGGCACCTTAAAGTTGCGCCTGAGCTCTGGGGAGAGTGCGGTGCGGGTGGGCGTGAGTTCAGCTTGCTCTCTGTCCCAGCCCGTGACTGTGGTCTGCCCCGCATGCAGGCTCTCAGCAGCACGTGGACAAGGCACTGAGCTTGATCGGCAAGAAGTTCAAAGAACTGAACCTCACCAACATTTATGCCCCCCCGCTGCCTTCGCTGGCGCTGCCTTCTCTTCCAATGACTTCCTGGGTGAGCATGCCCCTTCCTCCCGGCCAGCCCCACATGGAAGCTCCCGAGGCCGTGGGCAAGGAAGGCCCGGGGCACACTGAGGCCTTTGCCTGTCACCTCCGGCCAGCGGTCAGCTCTGCTTTTAGTTCTCTGGGTTGGGCTGGGGGCCAGGGTGCTGTAGGAAGCCAGAGGCCTCTCAGTCCTTGCTTGGAAGGACCACTCTCCCTGCCTCTGCCACTTGGGCAGTCTGTTCTCAAGGCAGTTGCCTAGAAAGGACTGCTCTCTGCTGACTGGCTGTGTGCAGGCTGACTCGGGACGCCTTAGAGCCGTGCCTTGTCCTGATCAACTCTGGACCTGGTTCGGGGACCCCGCCCCCTCCCCCCCCTGCTGTGGAGTCAGGTCTAGCGGTGGCCCTGGTGAAGGAGGCTCTTCCCCTTCCACCCTCACAAGGGACACCTGGGTCATAAAGGGAAAGAACCCCCACTCCACCTCCGCCCCTGGGAGCCCTAGCAGAGGAGGAGCTGGCATTTTGGGGCCTGTGTGCTGGGGCTGTGGGGTCTCTGGGGCCTGTCACCCCATCCTGCTGTGTGCCTTCAGCTCTATGAGCCTCGTCTCACTGGGAGCAGAACTGTAGGTTTCTAAAGGCTGAGACCACTGCATTTCACACGTAGGGTGGGTGTGCGCTCCAAGAAAATGTTTAGGATGCTGGCCTTTTCATTCTGTGTCTTCCTCCCAGTACCCTTGTGCTTTGAGGGAAGGGGTAGATGTCCTCTGCCTTCTTGTGGATATCCGGGAGTGGGCTGACCGCCATCCACGCTTCACTTCTGAATCATCGGGATTTCCCGTGAGGCGTGGCCCCAGACCCACTCTCTCTTTTTCAAGTGGTTGAGCAGTTGGTGAGGCCTCCTCTCCTTGTGCTGTGAGTGGCTGGTGGGGCTGGAGCCATGGCTATCAGCCTGCAGGGCCAGGGGGTCGGCGTGGAGCTCTCACCCGAAGCTCTTTCTGTGGCCGCCTGGCTGGGAGGTGGAGTGGATGCCCTTCTGTGTCCACAGCACCCCGTTGTTGCCTTAGCTTAGAGAGACGCCAGCGGTCACGCTGGCGCTCCTGGGGTTAGCTGCCATTGCAGGGAGCTGGCAGGGTGGCCCTCAGGCTGGACTGTCCCTTCCTCTTGTTCTTAGTGGCCACCCCATTCCTGTTTGTCTTCCCTGGGTCTTACAGAGTCTTGAGACGAGGTGGCCTGGGCAGAAGCTGTGCCCAGGCCCGTGGGCGGCCAGATACTCCATCCACTGCGGATGCCTGGGAGCCTCCTTGCCCAGCTGAACTGAGGCCACCTCTCGTGGTTACTTGGGGCATTGCAGGGCCAGGGCCACAGGGGAGCCAAACACTTCGAACAGCTTGAGAGTTTTCCTTGGACCTGTGCTGTCTAGGAGCCGTGTTGCTTTGGTTTGCTGTGCCTTTTTCGAAGATGTGCCATTTGGGGTCTTGCCCTGGGGCCTCAGAGTTTATCCCAAGTGTGAGAAGGGTTGCTGAATGCACATGCCCCCCCTCCCCTGCAGCTCATGCTCCCGGATGGCATCACTGTGGAGGTAATCGTGGTCAACCAGGTCAACGCCGGGCACCTCTTTGTGCAGCAGCACACACACCCTACCTTCCATGCGCTGCGTAGCCTGGACCAGCAGATGTACCTCTGCTACTCTCAGCCTGGGATCCCCACCTTGCCCACCCCAGTGGAGAGTAAGTGCTGCCCTCGAGGTCCGAGGGGCGCCGGGCTCTGGCCAGGCTCGGGGAGAAGTTTTGAGGGTCTCCTCTTGTTCTGCCCATGGTTTTAACCAGCAGGAGGCTGTTGGCATGGGGTGCGCTGGGCTCCCATTTCCTGGCTAGCTCAAGCTGGTGTTTCCGTAGGCTGACGGAAAGAAGGGGTCAGAATACAGAGTTGGCACGGCGGTTCAGATCCCAGCTCTGCTGCCCTCCTGTTGAGGGTGGGGGATGCCCATGTGGTCTGGGAATTGGGGTGGCTACCGTGTGTGTCAGACAGGCACAGTGCCTGCTGCAGATGCCAGGCCCGAAGATGGTCCCAGTTTCCGGTGACGGTGGGTTGGGGCATCTCCAGTTAACAAGTGACGAAACGAAGACTCTGAAGTCAGTGACTTGCCCAGGTGGCCCCTGCTCCGGAGCTCTTTTACCTTCGTCACCCTCGTTAGCAGAGATCGGATGTCTCTAACCTACCATGTCAGGGAGTCCTAACCTGAAGCCCCCAGTGGGCTTTAAGACATAAGGAAAACTTTTGAAATTTGGGGGGCATTTTATATTAAGGTTTTCATTTTGGAGGAATATTGTCAGGTTCTCTGGTGTTGCTTCAACCCAGAAGTGAAGACAGAACTGGAGGCCAGGAGGTGACTGGACTGTACTGGGGCCTGCCCTTAAGGGTCAGGACACAGTGTGGCCAGCCGTGTCACGGGCCCCCGCCCCTGCTGCCCCAGGCTGGGGTTGGTGGCACTCAGGGCCACTTGCTCTGGCCTGGTTGGCGGCCCCAAGTGTTACTGCTCTCAGCACCATCCTGAAGCAAAGGCCAGAAGAAGTGGGGTTTGGGCTTGGGAGCCCTCGGTCTGGTTTGCAGTGGGCCAGAGCAGGCCCTGGCAGCCAGCCAGAGGTCTGCTGCACTTGAGGCTCTGGATTCTTTCTGGGACATTCCCTTCAGAGTATAAGGCAGATGCTGGTCCATTCCCTGAATTCTGGAATTTACCTGGCTTATTTCAGGTATTCTGTGTCCACCTCTGGCCTCATTAAGTCTCAGAAAGGTGTGGGTGGGTGCTTTCTGGTCTGGGGGGTCTTGGGGGCAGCAGAGATGCACGGCTGGCAGGTCCTGCCCTTGGTCCATGCTGGGCCCGGGGAGGGTCTGTGGCCGCCCCGCCCCGACTCTGGGCACACGCTCTTGTCTGCCCGCAGTAACAGTCATCTGCGCTGCCCCTGGCGCGGATGGGGCCTGGTGGCGAGCCCAGGTGGTGGCCGCCTACGAGGACACCAACGAGGTCGAGATTCGCTACGTCGACTACGGCGGCTACAAGAGGGTGAAAGTCGACGTGCTGCGGCAGATCCGGTGAGTCAAGTCGGCCGTGATGTCTGCAGAGCCTGGAGTGTGGGTGGGTTCTTCCTGCTGCTGCCCACTCTGTTTGGGAGAGGATGATGCAAATGAACCCCGTGCCCGCCTCGGCCAGACAGAGTGGAGAGCCCCGTCTGGTGGAAGAAGCCCGGGTGTCGTTCGGCACAAGGGGGCGGCTTCGCTTCGGGTGCGCGATGCAAGCAGCGCCTCGGAGGCCGGGCCTGTGCAGGGGACCTGGGAGCGGTGTGGTGCTTGGCGTGTGCACCGCTGTGTGGCCTCCCTGGGTTTCGGGGTCACGGCGCTGAGCAGGAGGGGCGCGTCGGCCTGGGGTGAGCAGCGTGGCGTCCAGGCTGAGCTCGGGCCTGGCCTGTCTTTCAGGTCTGACTTTGTGACCCTGCCGTTCCAGGGGGCAGAGGTGCTTCTGGACAGCGTGATGCCTCTGTCAGGTAACAGGTGGGGCCTGGGCCTGGGCCTGGGCCGGGGTGAACCGGTCTTCTCTGTGGGACCCTGTCCTCACCTTTCAGGCTTAAGCAGCACAGCTCGTGGCCACTTTGTTTCCAATGGGCTGGTCTGGTGGAGGCCCGAGAACGTGCATTTCTAACAAGTTCTCCCGTGGTGCTGGTCCCTGGACCGACCCCCAGGCCCCCGCTTTCAGGCCCACTGCTCGAGCCTCCACCCAGGCCTGCATCTTTGAGAGGCTTCCTAGAGACACGTCTCTGTTCCTAGATACTCCCAGACCTTAGCCCTGTCCTCCCTGCCTCTCACCCTGGGTGTGTCCTTGTTCCGGACGTGTATGATCTGACAATGCTGTCTGCACGCCCCGCCCGCTTGGAATCGCTGCCCAAAGTGGACTGTGTGGCCAACTTCCTGGGTCTGAATGGCACCTGCCTCACTGTGGCAGCGGGTTGACCTTCAGACTGACCCGTGTTTCACATGTTCTCACCTGTAACATGTGTTCCTGATTCCGTGAGATAGCAGTCCGTTCAGCCCCCGAATCAGTGTTGGTGGTGGCAGTGCTTCCACTGGAGGCAGTCTCTGTCCCTGTGCCCTTCCGGCCCCCGGGGGTGGCATGCAGCAGGCACCCCAAGCGTTCCCAGGGAGGCCTGGGGCTCTGCACCCAGCTCAGGTGTGGCTCTGTCCTGTGAGGTCTGTAAGTCCGTGGCAGCGTGTGAAGTCTGCTAGAAAACACCCGCGAGTTTTGTGACACGTGCCCCGCCTCGATGAGAGCCGAACGCTGCTCTTCCCTCTCCTCAGACGATGACCACTTCTCGCCTGAGGCGGACGCAGCTATGAGCGAGATGACGGGGAACACAGCGCTGCTGGCTCAGGTGTGTGGGGCGGGCGGGCCTGTCCCGGGAGGCCCTGCCCAGCGCCTCCAGCCTCTCTCAGCTCCCGGCTGCATGGGAGCGGACCTTGGGCGCCTGCTGCCCGTGGCCCACGCCCTGGGTTGGCCAGCAGTCTTGGAGAGGCGCTCGGGGTAGCTTAGAAACACCATGGGGGGTTTTATTCTCTCAGGTGACGAGTTACAGCCCGACTGGCCTGCCTTTGATTCAGCTGTGGAGCGTGGTTGGAGATGAAGTAAGTTCTGGCCTCCTCTCCCCCGTCACGCGCAGAGACGCTCGGCGGCCACAGTGGTGGGGATGCTGCTGTCATCCAGGGGTGGCGGCCGGAGGTGCAGCTGACGACCCCCACAGAGCTGTGGCGGCCCCGGTAGCAGGACGTCCCTGGGCTCTCTCGGACCTTGTCCCCTGGGTTTTCCCCTTCGGCTCCTGGTACTGGAGCGTGGAGAGCCTGCTCACCTGCTGGCAGAGCCCGTCCGTGAAGCCCTGGCGGGCCCGGCCCAGTCACTCAGGCGCCGGTGGTGGGGCCGGGGCTGGGGGGGCGGGGAAACTGCGCTGGCCCGGTGCCACGGCCGCGCTCTCCAGGGCCTCTTTCTCCTAGGTGGTGTTGATAAACCGGTCGCTGGTGGAGCGAGGACTTGCTCAGTGGGTGGACAGCTACTACTCGAGCCTCTGACCCACCCCACACCGCCTCTGGAGTCTGTTTTGCACTGTTGAAATTGGGCTTGGCACTCAAGGCAGAGACTTTACAGCAGAATTACAAACATTTGTCCTCCCCAGAGAGTCCTTTCGTTCCGTACTGTGGTCATGTTGAGCTGTTTCCGTCTCTGAGACGAGAGAATTGTGGGTTCTTTTCAAAGCCATCAGATGGCGAGTAACAAACCTGTCGGCTTAAGCTGGTTCCAAGCTGTTTATGAAACAAAAAAAAAAAATGAAAGGAAAACTGTCTCAACTAGGTTGTCCGGCCCTCCCTCCCCCATTCCTTTCCTCCCTTCTTCCTGCCTCCATCCTATTTCCTCCCAAACCCAAACCCCTGTAAGCAGACAGGCCAAGGGATGTGTTGCTTGCTTTTGGGGAAGGGATTCTTTTACCTTCGAGTCTTTCTTCAGAGAGCAAGACATGAACTGACTGATGGGCATCAATCGCTTGTATAGCTTACGAATGAATTTATGATTTAACCATTTTTTATGAACTCCATCTAGGTCTCTAAGAAGACAGACTTTTTAATGCATCTGTAAATACAAAGCAATCGTACCTCCGGCCTCAGTCAGTGATAGAGGAGGGGGGATCTTATCTTGCCAAGCCTGGTTGTAATTTGTAACCATTTTCTATTTGTGCAAACTCTGTAAATATGTTTAAAAAAATGTAATTATTTTGTACAAGATACACTGGAGAACAAAGGGAACTCGCAGTGTTTCCACATCCCAAACGTCATCTGTGGCCGCTGCTTGTCCCAGCTCCCATCGCCTCCTGCATAGCCGGACAGGGTGAGCGTATGGTATAGGGTGTGACCCGGGGATTTTTTTTTTTTTTCTGTACAAATTTGTTTAAAAAAAAAAAAACCAAAAAAAAAAAAAAACTCATTGGATTACCTTGCAGTGGTGTGTGTTGATTCTTTTTTAGACTGACTTCGTGCAGCATTGTGCAATTTGAGTAACTTAAACATACAAACATATAAATCTCAAATTTTACACACTGTAGCTTCTGTTTTTTCCCATGGTGAACACAGTTGGGGAGTCGTGGGGTGGTTGTGAGTGTGGCGGGCTCTAGGGTACCACTTAAACTAGGAGACTCATGGCTCTTTGAAGACAATTTAGTCAAAATTTTCCATCTGGCTTTTTCCTCCCCTTTGCTCCACAAGGTGGCGGCCAGCCTTCCCCTGGCTTCCTCCTGTGATAGTCTCAGACAGCCAGGCTTGAGGAGAGAGCACTGGTTGCCCAAATTCTTTGTGCATTGTTAATAAACCTGTGAAGTGATTTAAGAGCAGAACCAAGTCTTGATCTAAAGGCCTCTCAAAGGTCAGCTCAGGGCCGTGAGCCCCGGCCTCTGGGCCTGCCCACCCCTCCAGATGGAGAGCTAAGAGAGCCCCAGGGCCCTTCACACAGAAGGTCTTCTCCCCAGAGCTGCAGCCTCTCTCCCTGGCTTTGGGCACCGAGTGGATAAAATGCAGGCTTCAGTTTCCACGATCACATAATGGTTGTGGTACTGGTGGTGTCCGGCTCATTGTGACCCCATGGACTGCAGCACACCAGGCTTCCCTGTCTTCACTCTTTCCTGGAGTTTGCTCAGACTTGTGTCCGTTGAGTTGGTGATGCCATCCAACCATCTCATCTGCTCTGTTGGCCCCTTCTCCTGCCCTCAGTCTTTCCCGGCATCAGGGTTTTCCCCGTGAGTCAGCTTTTTGCATCAGATGGCCAAGGTATTGGAGCTTCAGCATCAGTCCTTCCAGTGAATATTCAGGGTTGATTTCCTTTAGGATGGACTGGTTCGATCTCCTTGCCATCCAAGGGACTCTCAAGAGTCTTCTCCAGCACCACAGTTCAGAAACATCAATTCTTTGGCAGTCAGCCTTGTTTATGGTCCAGCACTTGTGTCTGTACACAACTACTGGAAAAACCATAGCTTTGACGATATGCACACTTGTTGGCAAAGTGATGTCTCTGCTTTTTAATACTGTCTAGGTTTGTTATAACTTTTCTTCCAAGCAGCAAACGTCTTCTAATTTCATGGCTGCAGTCACCATCCTCAGTGATTTTGGAGCCCAAGAAAAATTCTGCCACTGTTTGGTATCAGCCTCATAAGGCAATGAAATGGAAATATCCCTGCTGGAATGGAGCTTGGCCCTCAGCAAGCTCAGTCCGCCAACAGCCCTCAGTCCCAGCCGTAAGTGGGTTGTGATTTTGGTCAAGTTGGGTTATATGCGAGGCTAAGCTTTTTCTCTACAGCTTGCATTGCTGGAGTGGGAAGTGGTGTGTGGCAGCCTTTAGGCTGATCTGAAGAGGGCTCTCCCTGCTGGGGGTGCAGGCATGGCTTCTCTCTGGGGAGCAGTGCAGGGTTTGTGACGGCCGGAGCCCTTGATTCTGTGCAGAGCAGGGGGCAGGGGAGGTGACGGAGCGGAGGCCAAACGGGAGCGGCCCAGCCAAGACGGCTTCCTTGGGGAAGGCTCTGGGGCTGAGAAGTGATGGGATCAGGACCGAGGGCCCAGGTTCACGGAGGGGAGGCTGTGCCTGGTGTCTCAGGGCTGGAGTATTGGAGAAACGTAAGTTACCGAGGAGCCTGTACGCTTTGGATAAACGCTGTTCAGATTGCCATGGGCCTTGGATTAATTTCCAGAGTTCTGAAAAAGTTAATTTTGACCATTTTGCTGGTACTCGTGTTGCCTTTACCGAGGAGTGGATTTCCAGGTTCGGGGAGGTCCTTACTCTTCCAGGCCAGATGGCGTCCCTCTGGTTGGTGGTGTGTGCTTGGAATTACCCGAGGCCAGCTTAAGTGTAAACTTGAACTCTTAAATGGGAGAAGCTGGGGCTGGAGAGGACAGGGATGATCTCTCCGGGTGTAGGGGAGAGTGGATGGCTGAGCGCAGGAGCCGGAGAGCTAGCCTGTTCTCACTGCAGCTGCTTGTGTGGGCTATAGCCCCTCTGGTCCTCGAGGCACTGCTGTGGAGAAAGGAGTGGGCCTCGTAGGCTGTCAGTGTCAGAGTTCTGGGGTTACTGCTGCACCACTGTAGCTTCAGGTCAGGGTTGAGCTGGAGTTACGGAGAACTTACTGTTAGATGCCATGCTACTTTACAGTGATCCTTGGTCCTCAAAAGGCTCAGTGGTAAAAAATCTGCCTGCCAATGCAGGAGACACAGGTTCCATCCCTGTCTTGGAAAGATTCCCTGGAGAGAAAAAATGGCAACCCACTCCTGTGTTCTTACCTGGAGAATCCCATGGACAGAGGAGCCTGGTGGGCTATAGTCCACGGGGTTGCAAAAAAGCTGGACATGACTTTGCGACTAAACAACACTTGGTCCTCTTGACAACCTCTGGGGTGAGCCAGGGCCTGACCACAGAGATAGATGGTGGGGACTGTGCTTTGCGGGTGGAGCGGATTGAGGCTGAAAGCCAGGTTCTCAACCCCAACTCTATGGCAGTATGAGAAGGATCGTTTGTCCCCCTGTGCCCCCAGACACCACAGTGGCTCACTGACCAGCCTCTAGGAGAGTCAGAACTGAGAATTGGAAAAACACAGACGGGAGAAATCCATCATTTTACCACTTAGAAAAATTAAAATTTATGTAAACAAACCCAGGAGAAACTCATGGCACCTAGGCCAGACAGGAAACATTTAAAATCTGATCTAAAAGGAAAACAGTCTCCATGGGCGTCAAAGAATGTGGACAGAAAATTGAAAACCCAGACCCGTCTCTAGACCAGCTCTGTCCAGCGACATGGAGTGTGAGACACGTGTATAGTTTGAAAGTTTCTAGGAGTCTCAGTTGAAAGAGCAGATGAAATTAGTAAGTTTATTTAACCTGTTTCCACGTGTAATGGGTGTTAGAAATGCTGAGGTATTTAGGTGTTTTTGTATTAGGTCTTTGGGATCGCATGTGTGTTTGCACTCACAGCAGCTCAGGTGCTCCGCAGTCACGGGCTGGAGGCTGCTGGTCTGGGCAGCTCAGGGCTGGACTGTTGCCTTCATCACTATCACTCCAGTAGTGACAGCCTCATGGGTAAACTCTTACTCAGAAATTCTGGGTTCTTTGGCGCATTTATTTCTCCAGATAATCTCTAGAATGATTTTTTTGGGGGGAGGGGATTGTGGAAAATGTTCTGCCACACCTGAAAATAATGCATTATTGTTGATTTGGTATAACATTTTATGTAATTATTAAATTCAGCTTGTAAATTAAATCTGTTTTCCTTTTTTGCTGTCTGCCTCCACCCCCTCCCCCAGTTTCTTTTTTGCCTGTACTACCCATTTCTAAGAGAAGTACATTAAAGAATTTTGTATGTATTGGCATTGTGTTTTCCTGTCTTTCCTCGACTACTTTCCTTTTTGGTGAAATCTGGAAAGTCAGCAGGTGAATTTCACTTGTTGATTGTGATCCCTGTTGTAATATTATTTGGTGTTTAGTTCATTTTCCTGTTGCTTTCTAATTGGCTCTATTTTTTTACTTTCATCATTATTTGCTTGGTCAAAAATCTTCCCTGTAGTAAATTGAGTATTCAACTTCTTGATTCTGTGCTATCAGTGAGTTTAAGTTACCCACTTTTCTCCCTGAACAGGAAGAAACTCAGCAGAATGTCAGACTTCTGCCCTTCCTACAAGTATGTGCATGCACGCGTGCACACACACACACACACACACACGTTCTGTGTCCCTTGAGTTGTGTTGAAATCTAGAATACAGTTCAGAATTATAAACTTCTCACATATGCCTCTATCTCAAGAATGTTTTAATGGTGACATTGAACTGCAGCCATGGTATCAAAGATTTTTGCCCAACTCACTGTTCTGAGCTTTATTGCTCATCTGTTTCTTTTTTAAAAACTTTATTACCAAAAGTTAAAAATTTGTTACCAGTTGAAGGATGATTACAACATTGTGTTGTTCTGCCCCATGCCAGCACGGATCAGCCACTAGTGTACACGTGTCCCCTCCCTCTTGAGTGTCCCCTTCAGCCCTCTAGGTTGTCGCAGCCCTCATTTCAGTTCCCTGAGTCACAGAGCAAGTTCCCACTGCTGTCGTAGACATTAGTGTGTGTTTCCAGCTGCGCGCTCCGCTCATCCCACGTTTTACCCTCCCCCCGCATCGCAGCCCTGCAAGTAGGTCATCAGTACTGTCTTTCTAGATTCCATATATATGGGTTAATGTACAGTATTTGGTTTTCACTTTCTGACTTCACTGTATAATAGGCTGTAGGTTCATCCACGTCATTAGTACAGACACATGGGCACCTTATCTTTGACAAAGGAGGCAAGAAGATGCAATGGGGCAAAGATAGTCTCTTCATTAAGTGGTGCTGGGAAAACTGGACAGATACCTATAAAAGACTGAAATCAGAACACTTCCTAACACCACACACACAGAGAAAAGGGATTGAAGACCTAAATGTAGGATCAGAAATAATCAAACTCAGAGGAAAACATAGGCAGAACGCTATTTCTTACATACCTGTTCCTGAGTTATTTTGGTTCAGTTTTAAAGTTATTTTGGGTTGTGCTGGCGCTTCGCTGGGGTGACTGGGCTCTCCAGTTGCAGAGTGGGGCTTGCCTGTTTTGCAATAACGCCCAGGCTCCCGGGTGCGCGGGCCTCGGCAGTTACAGCACAGCTGCTGGTGCCCAGGCTCGTGGGGTCCTCCCAGACCAGGGATGGAACATGTGTGCCCTGCACTGGGCCACCGGGGAAGTGCTTTTGATTCACCTCTTTTTGTTGTATTTCTTCTGACTTTTCTGTGTTTTCAGAACACGTATGAACCGTTGGTCATCTAGAACCTGGTCTTTTTGACCTGAGGTCAGGCTTAACGTGTCTGCTGGAGCAGACACCTGCCAAAAAACTGCCCTCCCTCCCCCTCCGCGCAGTAGGATCACACATTCTGACACCAGGCACCTTTAGTGAAGGGCCCTTGGTCCCAAGGCTGAAGCTTCAGGAGGCAGCGTGTGCCCTGCTGGCCCAGCATCCGCTGAGTTCCGGGTGGAGACTAGACTGTGTGCCCAGGTCCTCACGGGAAGACGGTGTGGAATGGAGCTGCAGTCACCCAGAGAGGGGGTGTGGGGTATCCCAAGCAGGCCTGTCGTGAGTCATGAGGTCTGGGGGCCACGTGTGGCTTATCCTGGTCAATGGTGTCATTCTGGGCCCCCAACTTTCCTCTGAGGACCCCGAGTTCCGGCCATGGCCTTGGGGACTAGTTCCTTATTCCCCAGCCCCCATCTGTGAGCCACTGAATTAGATAAGTACAGAGGTGTCTGCCAGGTTTGACTTTATGCTGATCTCTGAGGGCCTTCCTGGCGATTCCTCTTAGGAGGCTACCTTATTTTGTATTTTTACAAAGCACATTATCTAGGACAGATCTTGGCTGTTTGTTGCTAGCAATAGGCCCAGCTAACAGGGTGGGGACAGATGGCCCCCTCCTATCTCGACCTGGGACGGCTGTCTCGTCTTGCCCGGCCCCTGGCTCGGTGATGGACAAAAGCTCTGCCTGCCTGCTCCCACTGGCCTCTCCTCTCCATTGAGCACCTGCTGTATACCAAGCGTCCTGCTCTGCTGTGCTGTGCTTCGTCTCAGCTGTGTCTGACTCTTTGCGAGCCTTCCAGGCTCCTCTGCCCTTGGGGATTCTCCAGGCAAGAATACTGGAGTGGGTTGCCATGCTCTCCTCCGGGGGATCTTCCCACCCAGGGATTGAAGCCAGGTCTCCCGCATTGTGGGCAGGTTCTTTACCTACTGAATCACCAGGGAAGCCCAAGAATACTGCAGTGGGTAGCCGATCCCTTCTCCAGGGGATCTTCTCCACCCAGGAATCAAACTGGGGTCTCCTGAGTTGCAGGCGGATTCTTTACCAGCTGAGCTGCCAGATAAGCCCAAGCATCCTGCAGGGAGGCTGCGAAGATGGGAAACATCCTGGCCCTTTGGAGGCATCTCTACCTGGGGAGGTGGGCTTGGTGAGTCTGCTCAGCTGGTGCTTCGCCTGGAGCCGCCCTCCCGCACTTCCTGTGGGATCCTGGCAACTGCTGGTGAGGTGGGCACTGGGGGCTGAGAATCAGCAGAGCTGGACTGGATCCCAGGCCTTCCGGACTCCAGGCTGAGCTTTTCTCTGCATGTGGTGCCTCAGCTTCCCTTTATGAGGCCAATTTGCCCGTCCCCAGCAGGAGGCGGCCTCCAGCGGGCTCCACTGAAGGAAGAGGAGGCTGAGGGAGGTGGGGAGCGGGCGGGTGGGGGAGAAGCCAGGCATTCTGCTGAGATGGGGCTTGGCCTGTGAGACTGGCTCCCTGGCACATGGAACAGAGCTGGTAGAAGTGAGAGCGGATGAGGCCTCACGATAGGCAGTCTGCAAGTACGTCCTGTGTGCACATCTTGTCTCTTTGTATTTTGTTCTTTAATAGGTGATGAACATAACACAACACGTGATCCCAAAGAAAAACGAAGAGAAGAGGGCATGGCCACCTCCTCTTCTGTCCCCCAGACGCACGTTTCCTCTTCTGGGGGACTGTTACGAGGTTCCCCTGTTCCTGCTAGGCACACGTGGGTGATAGTGTGATGCAAACCACGGCCACGAAGCAGGCCTGAGTGTGTAAGCGGTGTTATTTGCACACAGCAGCAGCTGTGTGTATATACTGTCTGGGGTTGCGTGTGTGCTGCAGCCATGCAGTTGAGCACCTTGAATAGAGGCCACCCTGCAAAGCCCCAAATACCCAGTCCTTTATAGAAAAAGTTGGCTGACCACCCCCCACTGTAAACATTTGTGCGCTGTTCCCCTCCTCCCCCAAATTTAAAGTCAGTATGTCCTGCTTCTTTCAACCAGAAATTCCTTTGTTGGGAATTCCAGAACTTCAGGTTCCTTGGGCTGGTGTCTTGGCGGTGGCCCCCTGCTGGAGGTCTTATTCCTGAGCAGGTGCACAGGCCGGAGCCTGGGGTGGAGCAGGAAAGCCCTTGTGGGGGTAGCAAAGAGTGGGCCCCAAGCCCAGTGGGCTGGCAGCAGCTGAAGGGACTCCCAGGCCCCCCACTGACCCACGTCTTCATCTTAGCAAGACTCCTGGTGATTTGTGTGTATCGCAGGGTCTGAGAAACACTGATCCAGGGGTTGTCAGTCATGTCCAACCTTGGCTGTGTACTTGGAATTGCCTCAAAAACCACCTATGCCTGGGACCCACTCTCAGAGATGGTATTTATCTGGCTGCGCTGGTTCTTAGTTGCGTCACATGGAATCTTTCCATGCAGCGCACGGAGACTTTCCCGTTGTGGCTTGCGGGTTTAGTTGCTCTGCAACGTATGAGATCTTTGTTCCCCGACCAGGTATCGAACCCTCATGCCCTCCTTTGCAAGGTGGATTCTCAACCACTGGACCACCAGGGCAGTCCCCAGAGATGCAGATCTAACTGATCTCAACAGCCTGGTCATCGATTTTATATATGTATATGTAAAATCTTTTCTGGTGGCTCAGCTGGTGAAGAATCTGCCTGCAATGCAGGAGACACACGTTCGATCCCTGCGTCAGCAAGATTCCCTGGAGACGGGAATGGCAACCCACTCCAGTATTCTTGCCTGGGACATCCCTTGGACAAAAGAGCCTGGCGGGCCACAGTCCATGGGGTCGCAAAGAGCCGGACATGACTGAGTGACTAACACTTTCACTACTTTCACTTTTCATATAAATATATGTAATATACAGATACACGTGTATAAATGATTACCTTTGGAGTATTTGTGTGTAGCGTGCACAAATCTCGAGTAGAGAACATACACATTTTTTTGGCATAATTACACCTAGGGTGGCCATCGTCCAGTGAAGGAAGAGGAGCGTTTCCAGGCTCCTCTCACGACGTTTTCTAGTCGGGACTCCCCTGCCGAGTAATCCCCATTCCTGTGTCGCCCTTGTTCCACCTGTTGTGGGGGCGTCACATGGACGGGATCACCCAGGAGGTGCGTGGGCTCACGGTGCTGTGTGACAGTGATGTGCCTCGGTGGTGTCTTGCTGAGCGAACTCCTCCTCGTGAACCTGCCACAGCTCTCTGATCCAGCCTCTGGCCGATTGGCATTTCAGTTTCCACGTTCAGGCTGTAATGAATTAAAGTGCTGTGATTCCTTCTTGTGTTTTTAGTGGCTACCTGTATCCATTTCTCTTGAGCCTGCACCTGGGAGGGGGCTTGCTGGGCCCATGGGGAGGACAAGGTTTAACTTCAGTAGTTACTTGTGTGCTGGGACTTTAAAATGCTCAGCGGGTGACTCTGATGTCCTGCTGTTGATTTCTTCCAGCTGCTGTTCTGTCAGTTTCCCTAGTCACCTTTCAATAAATTCCACATCCATCTCTGTTTCTTGCCACCAGGAAGCCCTGTCTACCAGACACTGGACAGTTCCCACCCCACCCCTGAATCCCCTTCAAGGTTTAAATCTCTCCCCATCCCTATTGACGGGATTCTATCCAGCCTCACTGGGGTATCTCCCCTGCCAGCAGCTTAGCTCAGACTCTTGACCCAGTTCTTCCTCCTGGGCCCCCTAGTCATGGACACAGTAGCAATCGACCACAGGGACGTGGTATCTGTCAATTCCCAGCACCCTCCCTGTCTTGAGAGCCTTAACACTGTGTTGACAAGAGGGTGAGCAGGCATAAAGCCTATAAAGCACTTGGGACAGGCCCTGGTGGACAATAAATGATGCCCAAATGCAGATAACAGAACATTTCCATCCTCACTCCAAGTTTTGATGGACAGTATGGCGTCGAGAGCCTCACTGTCCAATGGGGCAGCCTCTGACCACAGGCAAAGAGCTCTTGAAAAGTGACTTGTCCAAACTGAGTGGTGTGTTGTAAAATATATACTTTATGAGAAAAATGATTACCTGTTGTAATAATATTCTGGATATAGTGGGTTAAAGAAAATACACACCCTGGACATTTTTTTCTTAAAGAAATAACTTTTTTTTCGTTTTTCTGTTTAAGTTGGATAATTGTTTGATTTATTCTTTCTAAACATTTTTCGTTTCTTTATTTTTGGCTGCGCTGGGTTTTTGCTGCTGCTTGCGGGCTCTCTCTCGTTGCGGCGAGAGGGGCCTTCTCCTTGCGGTGGCTTCTGTTGTGATGGACCACGGGCTCCAGGGTGCGCGGGCTTGGTAGTCGTGGTGAATGGGTTTCGCTGCACCGCAGCGTGTACAATCTTCCCAGACCAGGGATCGAACCTGCATTCCCTGCACCTCAAGGCAACTTCTTAACCACTGGACCACCAGGGAAAGCCTGGTGTTTTTAATTTTTTAATTAATTGTTTTTTCTTTTTGTCTTTTCTTTCTTCCTTTTTTTCTTTGTGTTATTAAATGGCTGATGGGCACGTGAAGATGGCTCACGTGGATCACAGGTTCCTGTTGGACCGCGCTGGGGAGAAGCACGTCGTTACAGGAGGTCACTTTTTCATACAGTGTTTCTCAAATCAGGGGCTCATGTCTTTTGCTTCAGTGTTTTTCTGGAGTGACTCTTAAAAATGCAATGTGTGGTGCCTTAACCAGAAACTCTTGTTAAGAGTAAGACTGCGAATCTGCATTTTCAGCAACCTCCTCAGCTAACTCCTACCCTCTTAAATATGAGATCTGCTTCTCCTAGAACTTGGGGTATTCAATATTCCTCTTTAACAGGTATGCTCCCTTGCTTCAGATTGTGAAAAGATGGAACTCTTATTTCCTACTTTGACTTGGCTGCCAGCAAGTGCTGAGAACTGTTTTGGGTTAAATTAAATCAGTAATTAATTCCTGTGTAACCTGGGTGGCTGTTTTGCTGTCTGCCAGTATGTTAAAATTGTCATGCCTTAGGTTGGAAGCATCTGGGGGACAAGCACCAAAGTTTGTATTGTTGAGTTTCTGGCTTCAAAAGACTTGTCTTCCCGTTGTATTTCTGCCTGTGGTTGTTCAGAGGATGAAAAGAATCCTTTAACTTCAATAAGAAGTTTACCTTTAAAAAAAAGGGAAGAAAGAAGAGTTAACCAGGGAAATAACCTCTACGGAAGTCATGAATTTCTAGTCATTTACAAAGGTCTGCGATTCACCCGGCACAGATTGCGGCCACTGTGGCCGTAGACCACTAGATGGCACCATAGCACAAGTTTCTGGAAGGGTTGGCGCCTTCCTACTTGCCCTACCAACTGATTGTCTCTGAACAGTGCTTCTTCAAGTAAAGTCTCAATCTCAGAATTTACTAGAAACGCAAATTCTCGGGCTCTACCCCAGATCCACTGAGTCATAATCTACTTTAACGTACCATCCAGGGAGCTCTGCCGCGAGCTAAAGATTGAGAATCGCTGTCCTAGAATCTACCCTGGGGTTCAGTCAATTCAGTTGCTCAGTCGTGTCCGACTCCTTGTCACCCCATGAATCGCAGCACGCCAGGCCTCCCTGTCCATCACAAACTCCCAGAGTTTACTCAAACTCATGTCCATTGAGTCAGTGATGCCATCCAGTCATCTCATCCTCTGTTGTCCCCTTCTCCTCCTGCCCTCAATCTTTCCCAGCATCAGGGTCTTTTCAAATGAGTCAGTTTTCTGCATCAGGTGGCCAAAGTATTGGAGGTTCAACTTCAGCATCAGTCCTTACAATGAATATTCAGGACTGATTTCCTTTAGGATGGACTGGTTGGACCTCCTTGCAGTCCATGGGACTCTCAGAAGTCTTCTCCAACACCACAGTTCAAAAGCATCAATTCTTCGATGCTCAGCTTTCTTTATGGTCCAACTCTCACATCCATACGTGACTACTGAAAAAACCATAGCTTTGACTAGATGGACCTTTGTTGGCAAAATAACGTCTCTGTTTTTTAATATGCTGTCTAGGTTGGTCATAACTTTTCTTCCAAGGAGCAAGTGTCTTTTAATTTCACGGCTGCAGTCACCATCTGCAGTACTTTTGGACCTCCCCCCACCCAAATAAAGTCTGTCACTGTTTCCACTATTTCCCCATCTATTTGCCATGAAGTGATGGGACCAGATGCCATGATCTTAGTTTTCTGAATGTTGAGTTTTAAGCAAATTTTTTCACTCTCCTCTTTCACTTTCATCAAGAGGCTCTTTAGTTCTTCTTCACTTTCTGCCATAAGGGTGGTGTCATCTGCGTATCTAGGGTTATTGATATTTCTCCCAGCAATCTTGATTCCAGCTTGTGCTTCATCCAGCCTGGCATTTTGCATGACGTACTCTTCATATAAGTTAAATAAGCAGGTTGTATATTGATACAGCCTTGATGTACTCCTTCCCTGATTTGGAACCAGTCTGTTGTTCCATGTCCAGTTCTAACTGTTGCTTCTTGACCTGCATACAGATTTCTCAGGAGACAGGTTAGGTGGTCTGGTATTCCCATCTCTTTAAGAATTTTCCACACTTTGTTGTGATCCACATAAAGGCTTTGGCATAGTTGATAAAGCAGAAGTTTTTCTGGAATTTTCTTGCTTTTTCAATGATCCAGTGGATGTTGGCAATTTGATCTCTGGTTCCTCTGCCTTTACTAAATCCAGCTTGAACATCTGGAAGTTCACAGTTCAGGTACTGTTGAAGCCTAGCTTGAATTTTGAGCATTACTTTGCTAGCATGTGAGATGACTGCAATTGTGCAGTAGTTTGAGCATTCTTTGGCATTGCCTTTCTTTGGGATTGGAATGAAAAGAGATCTTTTTCAGTCCTATGGCCGCTGCTGAGTTTTCCAAATTTGCTGGCATATTGAGTGCAGCACTTTCACAGCATCATCTTTCAGGATTTGAAATAGTTCAACTAATTCCATTCCCTCCACTAGCTTTGTTTGTAGTGATGCTTCCTAAGGCTCACTTGACTTCACATTCCAGGATGTCTGGCTTTAGGTAGGTCGTCGTTATCTGGGACATGAAGATCTTTTTTGTAGAGTTCTTCTGTGTATTCTTGCCACCTCTTCTTAATATTTTCTGCTTCTGTTAGGTCCATATATTTTCTGTCCATTATTATGCCCATCTTTGCATGAAATGTTCCCTTGGTATCTCTAATTTTCTTGAAGAGATCTCTAGTCTTTCCCATTCTATTGTTTTTCTCTATTTCTTTGCATTGATCACTGAGGAAGGCTTTCTTATCTCTCCTTGCTATTCTTTGGAACTCTGCATTCAAATGGGTATATCTTTCCTTTCTCCTTTGCCTTTTGCATCTTTTCTTTTCTCAGCTATTTGTAAGGCCTCATCAGACAACCATTTTGCCTTTTTGCATTTCTTTTTCTTGGGGGCCGTCCTGATCACTGCCTCCTGTAGTGTCACAAACCTCCGTCCATAGTTTATTAGGCACTCTGTCTATCAGATCTAATCCCTTGAATCTATTTGTCGCTTCTGTTGTATATTTGCAAGGGATTTGACTTAGGTCATACATGAATGGTCTAGTGGTTTTCCCTACTTTCTTCAATTTAAGTCTGAATTTGGTAATAAGGAGTTCATGATCTGAGTGACAGTCAGCTCCCTGTCATGCTGAAGAAGCTGAAGTTGAATGATTCTATGAAGACCTACAAGACCTTCTAGAACTAACACCCAAACAAGATGTCCTTTTCATCATAGGGGACTGGAATGCAAAAGTAGGAAGTCAAGAGACACCTGGAGTAACAGGCATATTTGGCCTTGGAGTACAAAATGAAGCAGGTCAGAGGCTAACAGAGTTTTGCCAAGAGAACGCACTGGTCATAGCAAACACCCTCTTCCAACAACACAAGAGAAGACTACACACTAGCGAAGTTATGCTCAAAATTCTCCAAGCCAGGCTTCAACAGTACGTGACCTTTGGGGTAGCTTGGGTGAATGAAGGTGAGTGGAAGTGGATAGAGGCCTTGCTGGAGAAGGGTGAGGTGGGTTGGGAGAGAGGGGAGGCTGGGGAGGGAGACAGTGAAGGTCGCTGGTGCAGGGACAAGTCCATACTGTCCATATTTGGACAGGGCTGGTCCAAATAGGGGAACAGTTAAGGAAAAGGGAGTGGAGGGCGATTTTATATCTTTCTCTTTAGGTTAGGCATGTCAAATGGTGTCAGCTGGATGGGGGTAGAAAGGGAGAGTCACTAGGGAACCCCCACCTTATCTGAAAGGTCCTGAATCAGGAAAAGAAACACAAGGCTGGTCAGCCCAGGTCTCCACTATGGATGGCTATTTGTTCCTGCCCATTCTGAAATTTCACCAAAGCAACCACTGTTAATGAACTAAAATCTTGGAACCCTCCCGAGATGATCCATGAAGATAGATGCTCAGAAATCAAAAAGAACCTTGAGACTGGGGGGAAATATCACTAGTGTATTAAAATCGTGTTTCTAGCAAGCCTATCTGTATTCTAAGGGGAGGCCAGTGCCAGAATTAATTGATATCTTCTTTTATTTTTCGAACACAGACAAAAATTCCTCTTGCAGGTGGTTCCTGCTCTTTCAAAGGAGCAATGCATCATGCAAATAATTTTTTTTCAGCTGTGACGTGTACAGTTTAGTTTGATTTATTTTTGATGTCAGAAACAAAATGGAAAGTTGGCGCTTTAAAAATGAGCGTGGCTGGCTGAATAAATAAATAATATGCTCTTGGCCAGAACCTGCCAGTGCCTCCTTAATTGCCCATTGATTCTTTAATTCTCTGCACTTTAACATCTGCGGAAATTAAGAGGCCACAGAGCATGGAGATGTCTTTTGTTAAACAAATGAAGGAAGCTGGGTTTTAGAAGGTGTAGTTCTTCCTGGGCTCTGACCTGGCATTTAAAGGCGGGAGGAGGGAAGCCAGGAGCCCTCGGCAGTTTCTCCCGGAGCAGGCAGGCCTCGCTCGTGTTTCCAGCCATGAATATTTATGGTCTGTTCTCAGTCCTGAGAACATATAGAACACGGAGCAACTTAGCCCCGGGATATCGTGGGTCCCTCCTGGGGTTTCCTGGGTGTCGGGAGGAGGCCTGGCGAGGTCTCCCTCTGCAAGGTCAGGGATTGATATTCAGACCCTCATCCACTAACCTGAGTGGACGGGCCACACGTCCTGGGGAGCCACCTCCCTTTCTCGCAGGAAGGGAAACCTCCCCGGAAGATTTCTTTATCCTCATTTCCAGGCTGGATGGGGGCACCAACCATTCTCACCACCCTCGGGAGAGACCCCTGGTGTGTCCCCAAAAGACTTCCAGAACCCCGTGGCCTCCAGAGCATCTGAGCCCACCACCACCCTTAACCTGCATCGGTCGTTCCAAGCTTTGGAAAGTTCGCGCGTTCCCTCTCCTCCGTGCCTCTGCTAAGACCGTCTCCACTGCTGGTTGTCTCTCCTAATACGTGAGGTGAGGTTCTCACTTCCAGGAAAGTGCTTCTGAGTTCTTACCACCCCCGGACTCCCAGCCTCCTACCCAGATGTGCAATGGTGGCCTTCCCACCCCCGCTGGGCCATCGAGGCACTTGGAACACCCTTCTGCTGAGACATTGCCTCCTACTATTTGTGAGCCCCTAGGAAGCAGGGCCAGAGAAGGCAATGGCACCCCACTCCAGTACAAGTCTTGCCTGGGAAATCCCATGAACGGAGGAGCCTGGTAGGCTGCAGTCCATGGGGTCTCGAAGAGTCAGACACGACTGAGCGACTTCACTTTCACTTTTCACTTTCACGCATTGGAGAAGGAAATGGCAACCCACTCCAGTGTTCTTGCCTGGAGAATCCCGGGGACGGGGGAGCCTGGTGGGGGGCCGTCTATGGGGTCGTACAGAGTCGGACACGACTGAAGCGACTTGGCAGCAGTAGCAACAGCAGGGAGCAGGGCATGTCTTCTATTTGTGCAACTGGCCTATGAAACAGGCCCCAGAACGTCACTGGCACTCAAAAATGTTTGGTTGAAAGAATAAATGATGAAGTGCATCAGCCCTCAAGTGGATACTATAGAAACTCAGTTAACAGAGGATGGAACCCTCAAAAGGGAATTCCATGACTGTATCCTTGTTTTTTTGGCTGAGACTGGCTAAAAGCTGTGTGATCTTGGGGAAGTTACTCAACCTCCCTGGGCCTCAGTTTGCTCATTCCTGAATTAGGGTCAATAATAACAGCACCTTCTCAAATTTTGGGAGTTTAACGTAAAGTTTCTGGCATCTAGAGTGCACTTGATATTTGTTTATTATTTATACCCTTCAGCTGCTAAATGGTATACAGGCAGCATCAGCTGAGTGGTTCTCTGGAGAAGTCTCTCGGAAGACAACACCATTGTCATCTGCTTCTGTGGGTTCTTCCAGGGTGGGGTCCACCCCCTTTCCCTGGATCCAGGGGACCCATCGTTTCCTCCGCACTAAAGACCCAGCTCCAAGTCCCCTCGCCACTCTCCCGTTGAACCACTGTGGGATGCCTCCTGGGCCATAATTATGGCTCCAGGGGGACCCCGCTGTCAAAAAGCCTGCTGCCCAGGCCCCTGCTTCCAGATGCCCTTTCCTTCTCAGCTGGGAACCCACCCCCCCCAATCCGGGCACAGGTCCTCAGCTGGCTGCCTGCAGAAGCCTCCCCTTTCTCAGTCCCAATTCCCCTTTCCATCAGCATCTCCATTACATTCGGATTCTCGCCCTTCCACTTATCAAGTCAGCATCGCACCTGCCTGTCTCCACCACTGTCAACATCGCTGCCTGTGCGCAGCCTGCAGCCCCGGCCCGCCACTCCCCCCTCTCCGGCAATTCCGATTCCCTCCCCAGCTCACGTCGGAAGTCTTTGTTCTTCTCCCTGAACGTTCAAGTTAATTTCTACCGACTGTTTATTCAGCCTTTGTACTGGCGGGCTCGCTACTTACTCAGGAAGCGAAACCCCTAGAGGGAGAGAGTGGGGACGCTGCACGGCACTTTAGGACAGGAAGGAAAGATACTTCAGAGAGAGGGGGTGAGGCAGGCGCTCGGGGCCCCTGGACGCTGGTGAGGGGCGGGAGACGGGCCCAGGCTCTGCTTTTCGGGTTAGCATCCTGGTGGCTGGTGAGGGTGTAAGCATGTGTGCGTATGCATATGGATGCACACGCACGTGCAGTTACAAACCTGTGTATATGTGTAGGAGGCTGCAAAGCATCGCTGTCCATGGCCACAAGTGCCTCTGGGTTGGTCTTTTGTTCCGCCCAGCGGGGAGTTTGGAAAGGGGTTCTTGGCAGGCAGCCTCGCCCTGCTCTGGAGCAGAGATGAGGTGGTCCAACGGGGAGGGGCACAGAGGCGAGTGGGGAGGGCTGGGCAGGTTGGCCCAAGGAAGAGGAGGCCCCTTTAAGCTGCCTGCTGGGAGGTGCTACTGAGACGCCGCAGCCTTCATGGAAGACCGGGGAGCAGCAGCTTTGTATCTGAGGTTTCTTGGAGGGTATCCGTGTGCGCAGAGAAGACGTGTCTCATTTATGAGCTGGTCGTGTCTCATTTATGAGCTGGTGCGGGGGTGCGGATTCAGCCACTGCCAGGGCTGGAAGCCTAGAACTTCCAACAGCTGGGAATTTTGAGAAATCTTGGTGAGAGCTTTGGCCTGTGCGATGAGGTTGAATCAGTGTCACCCCTTAGGGAGCCTGGGATGCTCTATATAAACACATGTGTGCACATCAGAATACGTTCATAATATAGAAAAGGAATAAATGCAGAATTTTATATAACACGTGTGCATGCATGCATGCTAAGGCACTCGGTTGTGTCCGACTCTGCTGCCCCATGGACTGTAGCCCTCCAGGCTCCTCTGTCCATGGGATTCTCCAGGCATGACCTCCTCCAGGGGATCTTCCCAACCCGGGGATCGAACCCACATCTCTCATGTCTCCTGCATTGGCAGGTGGGTTCTTGGTACACTAGCACCATCTGGGAGGCCCTATATAACATACGGTATGTATAAATTAAGACTTCCCTGGTGGCTAAGTTGGCAAAGAATCTGTCTGCAATTCAGGAGACCTGGGTTCAATCCCTGGGTCAGGAAGAGTCCCCTGGAGCAAGGAATGGCAACCCACTCCAGTATCCTTGCCTGGGAAATCCCATCAACAGAAGATACTGGCAGGCTACAGTCCATGAGGTTGCAAAGATTCAGACATGACTTAGTGACTAAACCACCACCGCCATGGATAAATTATACACAATATGTTAAATATAAATGTATAGACTCATATATGATAAAATATAAAATACATAAAAATCAAATATATTTGTATAATACAAATACATCAAAGTATATATATTGTAGTATATAATCGTGTATATAATTATACATGAGATACAGAATGTGTAATCATGTTTTAAATATGTATAAATGTACGTATATACATAAAATATAAATAAAACCTTGGACCATAAAATAAAGTCACACCTTTTGT